TATATATACATATATATTATCAAAATCTAAGGGAACAGACACGGCCGCGCACAGCAGCAGCAGGTGGGTGTGGGAAATGTCTGCTTTGGCATCAAACCTTCAGGTCCAGCTGCCGTCGGTCCCTCTCCTCCCCCAGCACTGTCCGTCCAGGCCAGCTGCCCAGCCATGCGCTCTGATGAGCCCAGGAGGGGGTGGGGGTCCCTCGGCCCTGGTCCGGCCCCTGCCCCTGCCCCCGCCCCGCACACCGGCCCAGCAGCTTCGCCCAGGGCTCCTCAGAGGCTGAATCCTGGCCCTGGAGGGCAGGGGCTGGGCCCCGACTGGTCCCGCGGGTGCGCCGTCTCCTCCGCGACCTGCTGAGAGGACTCTTCTTGTCCAGAAACGCCAGCTCCGGGTGGAGAGGAAACGTTTGGACGAGAAAGCGTGGCCGGGCCTCAGGGACCGGGGACCGGGGACATGGCAGTGGTCGGCAGGGCGGACGGGGCCTGCACTGCCCTGGGGGCCAGTGCCCGGCAGCCTGTCCTACTGGAGCAGTTTGGGCACTTCCACCTGTGAGGACAGAGCCGAGGGTCAGGGAGGCTGCCCGGGGCCGCCCTGCCCTCCTCCTGGGACCAGACGCCGCGGGCAGGTCTGAGGGATGGTCAGGTGCCCTGCCCTCCTCCTGGGACCAGACACCGCGGGCAGGTCTGAGGGATGGTCAGGTGCCCTCTGCCCTCCTCCTNGCCCTGCCCTCCTCCGGGGACCAGACGCCGCGGGCAGGTCTGAGGGATGGACAGGTGGTGTGGCCCTAGGGCAGTCTCCTTTCAGGAGAAGCTGGGCGTCTTAGTGACCACTGGGACTATAGTCGGGCTGTCCTCTCTCACCCGCTGTCTAGTCCCAGCTGGCATGGCCTCTGTCATGGGGGGTCTGGGATGGTGGGGTCCCTGGCACTGTGCATCACAGGGGCCTCTGTGAGGGCTGAATCTCCCAGACACCTTGGGGACAGAACACCGGTCAGGCCGGGACGGTCCTGGGAGGGGAGAGGAGGCCCGAGGCCCAGGCCCCGCTTGTCACTTCCAGAGGGCGTGAAGCTGAGGGAGAGGCTAAAGGAAGGACAGTCCCTCTGAGGGCAGAGGTGGCCGCCCGGAGGCAGGAGCCGGCCGGAGGGCCCAGGGCATCCATGTCCTGCCTGCAGCCTGGCCCGGTCTGGCTCCCCCTGCTGGTCCCCTCCCAGGTCCCCTCCCTGCCGCTTACCTTCTTGAGCTGCTTGAGGTTGCTGGAGCGGATGGCGGCCAGCAGCTGGTCGCGGGAGTTCTTCTCCTGCGCGGGGAGCACCCTGTCCCCCATCTTCCTCTGGGTGGCCGGCGAGAGTGAGTTCCTCAGGTTCTCTACCATGAGGGGTGGGGCCAGGGGAGGCGGCGGAGGCGGAGGGGCGGCCGGGGCGCCCCCGCTCTTGGGAGAGTTCTTGGGCGAGGCCTTGGGTGAGGGCTGTGGGGAGGGGCCGGGGGAGCCCTTGGCCAGCGCCCCGACCTTGGGCACCTCCAGCAGCCCCGTCTTCTCCCGGGCGGCCTCCTGTGCCTGCCGCTGCTCCTGCAGCCGCCTCTGACGCTGCTTGTCCATGTTGCGGCTGAGCAGGTTGGTGACGGTCATGCGGGGCCCGGCCAGCTCGAAGTGGTAGCCCAGCTTGAGCAGCGTGGTGTTTTCCCGCAGCAGCCTGGCGATCTCCATCTCGGTCTTGCCGCCGCAGATGTGCCGCTGGTTGTGGAAGCGCAGCTCGGTCAGCGAGCTGTTCTGCAGCAGGGCCCGGAAGATGGCCAGGATGCCCCGGCCCGTGATGTGGTTGGAGTCCAGGTTGAGGCTGGTGATGGTCTTGTTGGCCTTGAGCATGATGGCCACCGCGAAGGCCACGTGGTCGTCGGCGCGGGTGTTGGCCAGGGCGAACACCTTGACCACGGTGTTGAACTCCAGGGCCTCCGCGAAGCGCACCAGGATCTCGTTGGTGATGCAGTCGGAGTTGTTGACGTTGACCTCGGTCATGCTGGGGTCGTTGCTCCTCACTCTCTCCAGGGGCTCGTCGAAGATGCTGGGCGCCGCGTCCTCCTCTGCGGGGGCCGGCCCCTCGGCGGGCTTGGCGGGGCCTGCGGGGGCCGGCTTCTCGGCCGCCTCGGTCTTCCTCTCCTCGGTCTTCCTCTCCTCCTTCTTCTCCTCGGTCTTCCTCTCCTCCTTCCTCTCCTCCGTCTTCCTCTCCTCCGTCTTTCTCTCCTCCGTCTTCCTCTCTTCCTTCCTCTCCTCGGTGGGCCCCCGGGGGCTGGGGGGCTCCGCCTGTGTGACGCTCTGCTCCTTTCTCGTGTCTGTGCCCCCGCTTCCTCGGCTCAGCGCCTCGTCCTTCCCGACGGCCTCTGTGCGCTCAGGCCCTCCTCTCACCTTCCCCTCCTCTGTCTTCCTGTCCCTGTCCCTCCCCACACCAGAGCTCCCGTCCCCACCTCTCTCCTCCTTGCTGGGGGCCGCCCTGCCGCCCCCCTGCCCGTTGCCCCCGGCCTCTGTCTTGTCCACGGCGGCCCTGACCCGGCCCCGGTCGATGCCCCTGATGAGCTTCTCCTCCTTGGGCTGGGGGGCACCTTTGCCCTCGGCGTCGTCTCTGTCTCTGGAGAAGCTTTTCTTCAGGGCCCCCCGCCTGGGCTCCCTCCCTAGGTCTGGGTCCTGCCTGGGGCCCGGGGCCCTTTTGCCGGTGTCTCGGCCCTTTTCCTCTCCGTTCTTGGCATCCGCCGTGGTCTCCATGTGCTTGCTTTCCTAAGGATTCAGGAGAGAGAAACAAACATGAGGGGCTGGCTCTGGGGGGAGAGGGAGGTGGACCGGCCGAGCGTGGGGAGCCCTTCTGTGACCACTGAGGACACGGAGAGGGAGGGGTCAGGCTGCGGGGACGGGCCGATGGCAGACCCGGAACCCGCGACCCAGGACCCCAGGTGACGCCTGACGGCAGCTCTCCCCCCGCGTCCTCGGGCCAGAGCTGCCCTTTCCTGCCCGGGATGTAGAGGGCCTGTGTCCAGGTGGGGCCCCGCTCAGCCGTGTGGGAACCCGAGGCAAAAGCAACAGTCACTAATCCTGGTCCTGTCTTTATTTACAATTTCAAATTTGTGTTCATCATGGCTTTTCGCATTGAATTTGATTTTTTACCATTTCATAAAAATACGAGTCATCTTGATCACCGCGTTTTCTGGGCCCCCGACATCCTGGGCTGCAGGCCAGGGCCTCACCTGCCTCACCTGCTCAACCTGCCTCACCTGCCTCACCTGAGACGTGGGGCCTCTGCAGCCAGAGCCTTTTCAAATTGGGGAAAGGGGTTGGAGGCACCAACATAGGACTGCTCACATTTTATTCTACCAATTGAGGGCACTTCTACATTCTAACGTCATCATCTCACTGAAATAAGGAGCGATGACACACCTGCGCGTCGAGTGTGTGTGGCTCTCTGATAATCCCCAATATTTGTTGAGGACCAGACCTCTGTGCCAGGAGCCCTGGAACCTGCCAGGTCAGCCGACCTGGGGACCTAGCGTCCTGTGACTCCAGTGGGACCCGGTGGACCCCGAGGAATGGCGCTGTGGGGGTGAGTCTGCCGGACAGCGGCCTGCGCCTCCCGGGCTCTTCTCCTGAGAGCGCTGGCTTCCCTGCGTTGGAGGAGCCGGGAGGCAGGACCTTCGGAGAGCAGATGTGAGAGCCAACTGACCAACTACCGCAGACCCCGGAGCAACTGGGACCTCGGGGCTGGCGTGTCCTTCCTCAGAGATTTGTAAGAGGAAGAGACTAGGGCCTGGTTGTTAGAAAGGCTTTCTGTCTTTCAGGGGTGCTCGGGGATGGGGGCCAGCGCGGCCGAGGGGAGGACTCCAGCCCACCCCTGGCCCCCACTCTCGCAGCGGGATGGAGAGCTGGTCTAGGAACAGCCTGTACCTGCAGCACAAACACGGGCCATTGGGGACCAGCCCCAGGGTTTATTTAGCAGCAAAAGTCCTTGGCTCCCCCACTCGAATCACAACAGACGGCCAAGGGGCACAGGGCCTGGTGAGACAGGCCCTTGGAATGTGCCGTCCCTCCTCCCGCCCGGGGCCGGGGAGCTGCAGGGGAGGAAAGCCCCTCACGCTCACTCTGGCTCCCGGCCACTGGTGTGACCCCTCGGCACCCTTTCGGGGCTGGAGGGGCGCGGCAATGACGTGGCCGCACCTGGACTTGAAGGAAGGAAGGGGAAGCGGGGAGATGCACGGAGCCGACAGGAGCCCGGGCGGCGGCCTTCCAGGTCAGGGCGGCCTGAGCTCTGCCCGCGCCTCTCCCTCCCACCCCCATGCTCGGATGGGCTCGTCCCAGCGCCGTCCCTGTCCCCGCAGGAGCTGGGAGGTGACAGCTGGCTGCAGCAGCCCACACGGGACTTCTCAGAGCCGTGGTGCCCTCTGCACGGTTCCCACGCTGCTCAGGCCTCACTTGAGGAAACGGGGGATCCAGAGGGATTAACACTTAACCAGTTCCACTCACAAGTTCAAGAAAAACTGGGCTTCAGACCTGACTCCCCGGAGTCAGTGTGACCTTCTCTGACCTTCCCAGCCTCCCTCTGGGTGCCCGAGCCCTGCACCCCAGCACCGGGCCCCTCTCCCAGCCTCACCAGCCGGTGTGGACGGGGCTCCTGTCCAGAACCCTCCCTCGACCCTCCCATGTCTCCCTCCAGGATCCCTCCCCACCCCCTCAGGGTACATCCCGGCCCCAAGGGACCTGCCACGTGTCTGTTTGGGGGGAGCTGTGCCAACCCTTTAAAAAGAAACTAATGAAAAACAGGCTGGGGGTGGAGGTCTGATTAATCACGGTTTCCTCCAAACAGCCAGGAATGAGTGGAGCTGGGGCTGGGGCGGCTGG